ATCTTTGTAATGGCAATACATTTAAAACAGTTCAGGAAAATGGAAATGGTTTTGTGCTCTAGATTGAGTTCAACTTTACTGTGAAAATTATGTAATTAACATGATCAAGTAGGTATTTTGGATGTCTCTGTCTCATGCAATTGCATTTACTGGAGATTTAGCTAAGATTTGCTGATGCGTTTGTACAGTTTCTCGTGTCGATGCAAAGAGTGAGGATGGTGAGATCTATATGCAGCTAGATGTGAACTCCGAGTTATACCCTATGCATCCAAAAGAAAAGTACAGGATGGTGTTATCTGAGACTTTGAACTTAGATGGGACAGCTGTTACAAGCCATTCTGAGGTGCTCTTTCCTTCTTCGTCCTTTTACAGTATGTGTTTTTGTTCTGACCAAGGTTTGAGGGAAGAAAACTTCAATTTTCATTTTGTCGGTCACAATTTCTTATCCGGATGTCAGTTTCCTTCTAAAATTCTGCTACTCTTCTCTGTCTGGAGTTGAACTTAAAAGACTGCAAACGAAATTCCCTCAGCATCATTTTTCTAGAATGTTTTAGTTTATGTTATGCTTTTTGCGGACAGCTGGAATTTAATAAAAAATTATGTTGGTATTCTAATATCACATGCTTCTTCTTTGCAAATCAGAAAATTGTATTTCCAGAAATGGTACTCGTCCTGTTTGAAGACCAAATTATAACATGGACCAATCATCGTTTGGTATTTTTAGTGTCTTTCCTAGTTAACGTACTTCACTCTTGTTTTGCGTTTTGTATGGATACTTCTTCCATGATAAAACTAAATTATACATACAGGTTGCTGCTGTAGGATTCTGGCATAATGAGTGACTAATTGCTCCTTCTCATGTTATCAGTTGTCTCAGTGGTGCTTTGCGTAGTTTTCTTCTTTGACCTTGTGGATTTACACATGGTTTTGTAGCTTCTGGGATTCAAGATACTGACCACTGTGAATTATTATTGCTTTTTTTCCCTTCTTTTTTGGTGACTATGGTCCTGGAAACAACAAAGCTTGGAGTATCTCAATATAAATTGAACTTTAGAAGGCTCTCACAAAGGTTTGAGATGGTAGTCTGTAGTCCAGATTACAATATAAAAATTATCATATGAGAAGTTATTTATGACAGTTACACCACATGATGAAATAACTCTTTAGTTGGCTTGTAAGCGGGGTAATGTTGTTACCTCATGCTAAATTTCTTTTCTTGTCAGTGCATGTATTAATATAAGGAAAATTAAGGGTCAAGACTTGTTAAAATGGGGATGCAAGTTATTTTATTTCCCTTTTTTTCAGAGTCTACTGATAGATAGTGTAATTACTGCTTGAACGTAGTGATATCAAGAGAAAAGGTCAATATTTGATAACGTTGTAAAGGTAATTTAGTTTCTTTCAGTGTATCTATACGTATTCCATTTGTGTTTAAATGTACTAATGGAACAAAATGAGGATTGATATTCTGAGTTGATGGAGCATAACTGATTTAGGGCCAGGACAAGTTGTGTTCGAAAGGAGCTTCATCCTTTTTTCCGTTTTCTGCTTTTTGCTGATTGTTGTAAGTTTGACTCTCAGCATATCAAGCCCTTGGAATTCTATGGATAACACAGTTCAAATGTTGTTTCTCTACGGATAACAGCATATCATGTTTGTTGTCTTTTGTATAATGAGAAAACAGCAAGTTGATACTACTTTATGCATGAGTTTTTTGAAAGTACAAACCCTCTGATTTTTGTTAGTGCTCTTAAACTTCTGCAGTTCTTTTCTTTGTTAACATAGATTTGCAGCTTATCTCTTGCAGCTGAATTAGTGCTGTTTATGTGGCTATTACCTTTCTCGTGATTCTTTTAAAGTATGCTCATTTAATTTTCGGCAATTGTTTATTTTACGCTTCTATTTTGGTTATACACAAAACTATTTCCCTTCTCTTGAGTCTGTAGATCAAAGTATTATATTGTTATCCTAGTTCAATTCCTGAATTAGAAACTTTGATTAACAATCGAAAAGTTGATTTTTTAAAATTTTGTTATATTTTATTTTATTTTTGGTTACTGTCATTTATAGCAATTCAGGATGTTTGGTCTCTGATGATGAACTTTTGTGTTTGATCTCAAAATCTTAAAGGCCTGCAGTGGTTAATAAACTTATCTGCTTTCTGATTGCAGGCCAAGCAGAAGTCTCTTGCAGACAAATTTGAGTATGTCATGCACGGCCTGCTGTATAAGATCTCGGAGGAGAAAGCAAAAGCTGGTGTAAAAGTGTATGTATTCTGTGCCTGCTTATTCATGAGAAGTGTGTTGCCTGTTTCTCGTTTTACAATCCTCTTGGTATTAGAGGTGATCATCATGTGGTTATGTCTTTTCTTGGTTCATATTTGAAACACATCGGTATTTACTGCAAATCATACTCAACATGGTTAGATGTCAAAATTGACGAGCAACTGAATAGGTTGCTGTTCTGGCTGGTTTTGAGTCTTGCCAAACTGAAGGATTATGTCAAGTTCTTTGAGGAAAGAAATCAGAAAAAAGGAATTGCAAAAAAATGGGGAGCCAACTCCAATTTCATCTATTTGATCAGTCTTTACCGGTTAACTAATTTGAGTGTTATTTAGGACCAGACTTGACAAGGACTATTTCCGGTTGAACTGGCAGTCCTGTCTGGATTGGGAACAAATCTCAGAAAACTGTACCACTGATTAAACGATTTTCATAACTGGAAGAGAAAATTTCAAGCTTTTTGCTTAATGTTGAGTTTCCACATGGATTAGCCCTGATGATTTAGCTTGCAAAATATTTCTGCAGGGTCGTGTATATATCATTTGGAGGGCTTCAGCTGATGGTAAGGGGTGCTCCCATAAAGATGCATGGATACAAGGTTGATCAAAGGTTGTTTTTACTCTTGAGGAAGATTTAAAGCCTTGTTTCACTCTGTAATGACAGTCTATTAGGCGATGAATTTTGTTGAATTGAATTTTGTGCATCAATGGTCAGTGTAATGTAACTTTGAAATTTATCTTCTTGGAAGAAAACCTGCATGAAGCGTGGAAACTCTCTTTTCTGGACTTCATTATGGATGTAATTAGTTCTATGAATGTGTCTGTTTACTTCTGAATCAGATGATGTTGTTATTGCACTTCATTTGGATGCTTGTACATTTAAAGTATTATGATCAAACTTGCTTCACTCTCCATCCATCCAGTCTTCGATTGAGTAGCGTGCAATTTAATTACTACTCTGTCTTCAACAAATGGACACCATTTTTGATCCTCAGTGGTGTGGTTTTTGAGTTCCTCAGCTAAAAGGTCCCAAAAATTGGCATTTGGTCCGCTGCATACATGTGCCGGTTTCTGGTCCCAATGAATCATCTTTACTTGGTTTTTATGTCTTGTGCTTGTAATTGCTTATTTTACAAGAGGATTTGATCTTGAAGATGTGGTGTTGCCGACTTTAGAAGATGTTCAACTACTCTTTTGTTTTGATTGAGAAACCCTGTTTGCCAGCTGCAACAGAAACAGACAGGAAAGAATCTTTCTTTCCTCCTATATTTTATCATGCCTGTTCTCATTGTTGTTTAGTTGATTACAAGCTCATTGTTGGATTTTCTTACTTTTGCACCTGTGAATGAGAGGATTGGTTATTTTGGAGCTTAGTCCATCTGTAGACAACTTAATCATGCTTACACCTTGGCCATGCACAAAATCAGAGGAATTTGGTGATGATTTCTATTGAAATTTTGGAAAAAGTCCCAACTTCAAATTCACCACTTTAACCGTTGAAGATTCCAAAAATTTTGAGAAGTACAAGATTTAAGCGAAAGTCACTTGCTAGCCTCTTGAGCTATGGTACATTAGCATTCCATCTTCATTGTCGTGGTTTGCAAATTGCACCCCTACCTATTGAAATCGGCTCAGCAGCATCCACTTCTTGTGGGCTAATAGAAATTTGCCTATGCATGAAGTCTATATTTACAACACTAATTTTACATGAATTCTATACATTACCATGCAAAACAGCAATACACATGATTGCATGGCTCTGGCATTTTATGTTTGATTAAACTGGTTGCAATACAAAATTCATATACGTGCACATGCCATAAAAACAACTTCTGCACAACGAAACAGAGGAAAGGAAGTGAAAAGAAGAAAAAGCAAGAGACAATTGGACATCTAACAGAAAAAGAATTATGAGAAGGGGAAATGTTGCAGTTCCTGAGTAAAAAACACAAATTCTTAAATGTATTGGTATTACTAATTAGTAAAAAACACAAATTCTTAAATCCATTTTTAGTAGGGGTAGAAAATGATCCCCCGCTCTGCCTCCATCAAGTTTCTGCGAGTACCCGTCCCAATTGCCATCCCTACCAACCATCCTTTTTTTTTTTTCTCTTTGAAGTCCATCAACCTGACTTCTGATGGTATGATTTTACTCTCAGAATACACAGTTTACAAAGACATTCTGAAGTGTTCTTAAAGAGTCAAAAGTTTATTTAAAATTGAGTTATGTAAAGAGGCAGCCTATGTGGTTCGAGGGGTAATGGGTACTTCAATTTGAATATTTTCAAAGTTGCACCAGCTTTTTAAATCAATCTTTTGCCGTAGATGCAAATTTGATGGCTGCATAAAACATTAAAACAACCTCAGAAGGAATGGTTCAAGACAATTGGGCTCAATTATTAAGGTCCGGAATGAGTTTGAAGCCATTTAACAACTTATGGAGCATTCAATTACAATCAATATGAAATCAAAGGATGACACTCAAAGATCCATCAAAGTTACATTTATCAGCTTGAACGCATTATGGCAAAGGGATGGTTGAGTCAAGGGCCTTTAGCCCTGCTAAAGAACTGAAAAGGAGTCAACTTTTGTAGCAACGGATGAACTTTTGCCTGTGTATTTAATCATCACGACCCCCGTATACGCTGTCCTGATGTTTGAGCTTTACTGTTTAGCTACGCCAATCCATAAGACAACGCAACAGCATCAACTTCTGTTCTCTAGTTGGATGTCCAAATATTCCTCTATAAAAGTCAGGCTCTTGAAAACGTCCAAGCACTGCAAATTGAAGAACATAAATTCTTACCACAAATGGCATCTAAACCAGCAACTTCAGCAACATTCTCCTTCTTGTTTCTGTTAGCATTTGCTGTGGGTTCTAATGCTGGTGAAATAGCTATCTACTGGGGTCAGAATGGAAATGAAGGCACATTAGCAGATACTTGTGCCTCCGGGAACTATGATTTTGTGAACTTAGCTTTCCTTTGTACATTTGGTAATGGACAGACTCCTCAACTCAACCTTGCAGGTCACTGCGATCCATCAGTCAATGGCTGCACCGGTTTGAGTTCTGATGTCAAATCTTGCCAAGCCAAAGGAGTCAAGGTCATTCTCTCCATTGGAGGAGGAGCAGGGAGCTATTACCTTGCCTCTGCAGAAGATGCCCGACAAGTTGCAACTTACTTGTGGAACAACTATTTAGGAGGACAGTCATCTTCACGGCCCTTAGGTGATGCTGTTTTGGACGGGGTTGATTTTGATATCGAAGGAGGAACAAACCAATACTGGGATGTTCTTGCAAAATATCTTTCTGCTTATAGCAACCGCGGCAAGAAAGTTTACTTAACAGCAGCACCTCAGTGTCCTTATCCTGATGCATGGGTTGGAGGTGCACTTCAGACTGGTCTTTTCGACTATGTTTGGGTACAATTCTACAACAATCCTCCATGCCAATATTCTGGTGGAGATTTGAGCAACCTTGAGGATGCGTGGAAGCAATGGACATCCATCCCTGCAGGGAAGGTCTTCCTTGGATTGCCAGCTGCTCCCGATGCAGCTGGAAGCGGCTTTATTCCTGCTACTGATCTTACCTCACAAGTGCTTCCTGCAGTTAAGGACTCTGACAAGTATGGAGGTGTTATGCTGTGGTCTAAGTATTATGATGATGAAACTGGATATAGTAAATCCATCAAGGGTGATGCCTAAAAAAATCCTTGATGTTAGGCATCTGTAAACTTTAACTCCTTGAAGTGTCATGTAAATGTGTCCAGCTTGTGTCTATAATCATTTGTTTCCTGTCTACGTTCATGTGAGTATGTGAGAGCTTGTTCTTACTTCTTAATGGAATTTAAGCGGCTTTTAAGGACAACTAGTATCTGTGTAAATTCATTAAAGGGCTTCACTTTGCCAAAGGTTCAGTGCTAGTTTGATCCACGGTCTTTCTTACTTCATTGGAAAAGACTAGGAATCCATGACTGCCAATGTATAGTGAAACAAATGTTACGTCTGCGAATATTCATGAGTATAGATGATGTTGCAATGGCACTTCTTCTGGAACCCTGCACATTCACTCAAAAATCGATCCATTTTCAATTTTGTCATTTATAACTTTCTAGCGCATCTCAGTGGCTTCACTTTGCACCCCTTTTATCTTCCGTTCAAGAATGTTATTTGCATGGAATTCAATTCACCACTGTATTTGGCAAATCGGATGCCTTTCTTGATCTTCTGAGCAGTATGGTTTTACATTCCTTATGCGCCAATTTGTGAATTTGGCAAGTTATAAATCAGATCTTTTTCCATTCTCCACAGCAAGTGCAGGGTCTTGTACTGAAATCTTTGATTGCGTATTTTGCAAAGTTAAACCATTATTTCTCTATGCATCATCCAAGCTGTTATCTGGTAACGAACACGGGCACACCACATTTACCTTGTCTTTTCAGTCACAGATAACTCCAGAGTGCATAGAAATTATGAAGTACATTTCTAGAATCATTATGCTGAAACCATCCACTTGAGATCTCCCACTAATCACTGGAGTGCATGACTGCAACTTCAAATTGCAGTAACTTTCATGGGAAATGAACCAGAGAGCATGTCATCGTAAAATTCAGCAACAGGATCAAGTATGCTCAATTAAATGGCTATACAGACCTATCTAATAGCTCAATTTTAGAAGGCTGAGAGAATATGAGTTTTTGCAGAACCATAGGCAACCCACAAGACAGAATTTGTTGAGAGATTCAGAAATTTCCAATCGAACAAATCCGAGAAGCTCCATCATCTTCCCATCTTAGTTCAAAAGAAAGTAAAATTGGACACACACACAAAATAATAATAATAATAATAAAATAAAATAAAACTACCTAGTACCTACTCTCTAAGAACACAACTAAGTTAGCATCTCTCAACAGTAATTCCACTTGCTTAGTCCATAGGAAGTGATATAGACATCCATCACTCATTTACTGGATGTGCTTTGGGATTTCACCTTTCCTCAACAGAGATAGAGAGTACTCTGCGGCATCTATAAGGTCCTCAATGTTGTGGATGGATCGTTCTTCAGAACCCAGCATAAAGATTGCACGAACTTCGGCTTTCTTGGACAATCTAGCAGCCAAATTCAAAGGCAAAGCAGGCGAGTTGAGGCTCCTTAAAATCTGTCTATACAGTGAAAGCACTCTTCCTCTGTTTCTTGCTAAGTCCTCTGCTGTTGCCCATATCAGACCCTTTGCCATCTCGCACTGATCACTCTCTCCTGTACAAGAATAGCAGCACCATTAGCGTGGACATTATATCAAACACTTGGTGTGCAATAAGAAAAAACTGTCCCAATTGCTAAACCATCAACGATTCCCATATAGGTTAAACTTCTTGTTCTTACTAGATGTGAAATGTGGTAATTGGGTTTCTATAAAGAGGTGCTGAAACTGTGATTGGATTAGCCTGCTTTCGCCTTCTTCTCAGGTGTATATTAAAATAGATGGAGAAATTATTTTCATTAATCTACCTTACTAAATGATTAAATTACCTATGAGCTATGATAAAATAATAATCGTGTCAATATTTTTTTGACCAAGCAATAGTTTCACCAACAACGTGGTGGTTCTTATTAAATATGTAGTAGCCAGTAATCAAGCAAATTGTAATACATAATTTCTATATCTTTTTGTTTTTCACAATTTTTGAAGAAAATAAATCCTATTTGATTAGGCATATTTTATATATATAAAAAAAATCTAGCAAGGGAGGGGTGAGATTTAAGAAGCGAGGAAGGGACAAAGGAATTAGAATCCAAAACTGTTCTAAGACTTCAATCTTTGCTACTATTTATTTGATTAGGCTTGAAAAGGCATATAATATTGGTATAATTACATTTGATCCTTAACATAACATGAATATCAATAGCATAAATTGACACTAAAGTATTTAATTGTATGATTGTATCATATAACTTTATTTATCACATGGAAAAGATAGGGTCAACTAAACTCTGAAGTGCACATATTGTCAAGAATTATAATAACCACAGAGTAAATTTTTGTCTACGTGAATAGTATATATACTATTACCGTTAGATCCATGCCATATATGTAAAATTTGAATTTTAAATTTAAATTTTGCATAATTATTATTTATCTAATGTTGGCCGTGTGTAGGAACGACTAATCCACAACGAAATAGGACTTTTTATAAAACAAAGAAAAAGACATTTTTAATCTTTCAAATGTGTACGCAAGCTTATTTCTTATTTCATTGATATTAAATTAATAGAAATCATGAGTATATTCGAAAAGTCTTAATTGAGTGCTTGGAGCAATAATATTTCTTTGAAGAAGTCTATTGAAAGAATTAAAGAATCATTTATTGCTTACCCTTAGCTTGTTTGGGAAAGATTCCAAAACACCCTTTACTTGATACTCAAAAAGGCAAATATAATATAGTGGTGGAATTGAAGCATGAGGGAAAATAGTTAGTACATACCATTGAACCACATTAGCTGCCCAAATGATTTAGGTGAAGTCTTGGACATGGAATCTTGTTAAATTCATCAAGTTGATCTATGTGATTTCTATTTTATTGGCACTTACAATTTATAATTAAACCAAGATTTAAAAAAATCAGTATTCATTAATAAGTGAATTGGCAACCAAAATCTCAAGAAGGGTTATTGAAAATTAGGGAATTATTAACATTTTTGGACAAAATTTTTAGGGCAAATTACACTTTACCCCGTGTGGTTTAGCATTTTTTTACATAACCCCCCTATGGTTTCAAAAGTTATACATAATTCTCTCATGATTTGGATTAAAGTGTTAAAGTGAGGGAAATAGTCATTTGTAACGGAACTTCTAAAAATGTCGAAATTACCCTTATAAATACATGACACATTAATCTCGTATGATTTTTATATTTTACCATATAACCCCCTTATGGTTTAATATTTTACCATATAACTCCCTTATGATTTTTAAAATATATACATAACCCCCATTGGTTAATAAATAATTTTCAACTTTACATAAGGGTATTTTTGACATTTTAGGTGACACCATTAAGAATGATCATTCCCGTCACTTTGACACTTTAATCCAAACTATGAGGGGTTATGTATAGCTTTTGAAACCATAGGGGGGTTATGTAAAAAAATACTAAATCACAGGGGATAAAGTGGAATTTGCCCAAATTTTTATTATACCGATTGACAGCAAAGGACACCGTAGAATCATACATTTCATGCTCAGTCCACGGGTGAAAACAAGAAGAAGTTGTTTAGTGTTTAGACATGACTCTTAATGGAATTGCTATATCCAGTTTGGTCATCGTAAAACTTAGACCACAGCATAACGCCTCCATACTTGCTGGAACCCTTGATTGCAGGAAGCACTTGCGAGGTAAGATCACCAGCAGGAATGAAGCCACTTCCAGCAGCATCAGGAGCTGCAGGCAATCCAAGGAACACCTCCCCAGCTGGGATTGAAGTCCATTGCTTCCATGCATCCTCAAGATTCCTCAAGTTCCCACCAGAATACTGGCATGGAGGATTGTTGTAAAATTGTACCCAAACATAGTCGAAAAGACCCGTCTGAAGGGCACCTCCAACCCAAGCATCAGGATAAGGACACTGAGGTGCTGCCGTCAAATAGACCTTCTTTCCGCGTTGGCTATAAGCAGAGAGGTATTTGGCAAGAACATCCCAGTACTGGTTTGTTCCTCCCTCGATGTCGAAGTCGATTCCATCTAAAACAGCATCCCCTAAAGGCCTTGATGATGAATGTCCTCCCAAGTAGTTGTTCCACAGGTATGTTGCAACTTGTCTGGCATCCTCAGCAGAGGCAAGATAGTAACTCCCTGCACCTCCTCCTATGGACAGCATCACCTTGATTCCTTTGGCTTGGCAGGATTTGATTTCGGAACCCAAACCTGTGCAGCCATTGACAGATGGATCGCAATGGCCTGCGAGATTGAGTTGAGGAGTCTGTCCATTGCCAAACACACAAAGGAAAGCCAAGTTCACAAATTTGTAGTTCCCTGTGGCACAGGTTTCAGATAATGTACCCTCGTTTCCATTTTGACCCCAGTAGATGGCTATTCCACCTGCATTAGAACCGAGTGCTACTGATAGCAATACTAACAAGGAAAATGCAACTGAAGTCTCTGATTTGGATGCCATTATTTGTATTGACAGGAAGGTTGATGGACGTGGGTATTTATAGAATAGAGCGTGCAAATCCCATGTAATATAATCAGGATTGGGGCACAATAGCAACAATTAATTTAAGTTCAAACATCAGGATACCGTACACGGGGTTCTTGAATCTTGACATGATTAATTGGTCAGAAGTATGTGTCCATGTTTATTGCTGCATATATTGACTCTTATTTAGTTTTCTACTTATGCACGTCGAGTCATTTCAATATTGTGAAATGACTCGATATGCAATGTCTCTATTTTATTGGATAGTAAATTATTTGAGATAATTTTTTTGAACAAATAGTGTAATGCGTTTTTAGATGCGATGTATATAAGATAAAATAGTAATCAGAAGAGACGTTGATAATGTAAACAAATAAAATTCGACAAATAATCTGACGTCCAAACAAAATTATTGAGTTCTTGGTTAGTTTTTACCATCATTTGCTAAATATAAACCATGAAGACATCAATTGATGTGATTGATCACCATAAAGAGCTGTTTGATTTATCCTATTAACAATTATTACAACGTTGTTGTTATGCGTTAACAAAGAGCGCATATCATAATTAATTAATTAATTAATATTCCTGCCCATCAAAATCATGTAAGATGAGACTGAACGCATATCACATAATTATGGTTCTGCCCATCAAAATCATGTAAGATGACGCTTAAGGCTACTCCATCTTCTCAACCATTAAGCTACTCTTGCTTCGCATATTGTCTGAAATGTACGAATTTTAGTTTAATCCCAATTTAAAAAAAAAAAACCCCACTTATAATTGAACCAATTCAAGCCTTGTGGGACTCGGGGCAGGGACGGTTGCCTTGTGGGACAGGTGCAACCGTCCCTGACAAATTTCCTCTTCATCAACAGCGCGTAACTTCTTTTGTTCACCGTGTAACTTTTTTTCCACAGGTTGTATTTTCACAACAGATAGTGGTGGGCCCCACACTTGGCGCGGAAATCGAGTTACCACTTGTTATCTGAGCCGCACATTTTTTTGAGGTCCAATCTGGACCATGAACCGTGCAGGGACGGTCATACTGATGACCGTCCCTGCCCCAAATCCAGCCTTGTGGGTGATCCAATCATTGGCTAAAATGGTCATGTGTCATGTGCAATGCGCATGGTCTTGTGAAGTGACCAAATTACCCCCCTCAAAAGTTCTAATTTTGTGTACCTTTTAGTTTATTGATTCTCATAATTGAAGTTTATTTTAGTGTATATTGGTTCATGGCTACTAAAATCTATTAGCTTATGGCTACTAATTCTTGTTGTTTCTTTATTACATATAAGAACATAATGAAAAACATGATTGTTTAGTACATTGCACTCTATTATGTTTTATTACTTCAAAATTTTTTTCTACAAGTCTAATTATCTAAAGTTCATCTTGATTTATTTTATTAGTTCGAAAGTTTGTGCAAAACTTTTTTTTTTATGAGATTATAAATAGCAAGGGCAAGATAATTTAGTCAATTCACGAAATCATTTCCCACTGCATACGACTAATTTAGCCTAAAATTGAATTGCTTGACCCAATTCTATTTGATTGGGAAAGTTGTAATAGCATAAGGATGGGATTGGTTCAATTAAACTTTCAAGGGGGCAATGTAAAGAAAAGGCTTCTTTTTTAAAAAAAAAAAAAAATTTTTTCTTTAGGAAGTTTATTGGAATTAACCCTACATATTACTTTCTCATTTCAAAGTGATATTGACCTAATCAAGTTACAATTTTTTTTCTAGCCATGAGAATATAAAAGAAGTGCTATTTTTCTTATTTAGACATAGTGATCTTTTTTTTTTATTTATTGTATTGTTTTTGGTTGTCTAGAAAGGTGATTCATTCATAGACAACTTGTTCATCTGCTAACAAAATGAGAAAATATTTAAATGAAATTATCAACCCAACCACACCATTGATGCTAAAAAACTTTTAGGTTGTTTCGTGATCATTGTTTTTTTTTTTTCCGTCCTTTTTTTAATTGTGTTTTTGTTGTTTATTCTTTTTTTCTCAGTCTTGTTAAAGAAAAGTGACAAGTGCTTCTTATGCTGATGTTTTTGTAACTTAGTACTATGGGCTTTTATACAGTTCTATGCATATTTTACTCTTTTCATTTTAAAATTATCTCTTTCTTTTGAAGCAAAGCAAATAATTAAAAAAATTATAATATAACATCAGTAGTCTAAATTATCAATTTTTTTGTATCAAAAGGAGGAATAAGATTTAAAAAGCGAGGAGGGTTGAGGCTATCAATTGTTGATTATTATGACATACAAAAACCTTTTCCAAAAAAAAAAAAAAAAGTACAAAAACCCA